CATATGTACATATGGCGGCTATAATTGCTCTGCGACAGTCAAAGCAGTGTCTACTCATATATATGTCTATGGGGTGGAAGGCCTCCTTGCCATCACCCTCATCTCCATCCCCATCCATAGATTCTCATTTAGATTCAACTTTGCACTCTAAAAAAAAAGAAGAAACAAAAGAAACATGTTGGTCGAATGATTTTGTTCCTCAAGTTTGAATGTGACTGTAGAGTTACTCACAGCAGCTCCAGCTTTATAAATACAGGTTTATAATATGATTTCATTTTGGATTTATTTTGATGCGTTACTTACATATTTATATTGTTTTTTATTTGAGATGGAAAGAATACAATAATAAGAAAACAAATGCTCAAATTAAAAGATAAAGTAAAATAGTTATTCTTTTTCATAATCAGTTATATTATATTCTGCTTTTGGATGATCATAATAACTTTTGAGTGAGAGGGCGACTCATGGTAAATGCCCAATGGGGCACACTAATATATCTGTGAACCTAAATCTTTCCAGAGTTTGAATAATTTTAACTCTAATAGTATTGTTTTTCTTCAACTCCAGTTTTATTAAATGTGATCCATAAAGTGTTCTCTGATGTTAGCTATTGTAGCAGGATGAAATGTGAACTAGTTGAAGGAAGGAGGATACTTTTCAAAAAACCTTTTATCTGTAGATCAAATCATTTGCAATGACCTCATTTTTTCCCCAAAGTTGCCACATGATGGCGCCATAGAAAGCTGTTCGGTCCGTCTGAGCAGAGACCAACAGCAGCGAGCAGCAAACTGCAGCTCCTGCTCGCTGCATCATTTTAACGAGATCCCTCACTTCTAAATGCCTCCCGCTGTTCACTGAACGCCATGACGATTCACTTAAGGATCACATGAATGCCGCTGATTTGATTAACAACTTCCATGGAAATGTGGCGCCCTGCTTTCCAAACAAAAACGGTCCGATTGTTCTCACGGCCAAGTTCAACACGAGGCACATGGAGTTTAATGAAGACATGACCGAGTGCAGCTGGGTCTAAAGTGAGAATCACAAAGTGTCAAATTATTCAGGCTGACAGGGAGGTTCCACTGAGGCTAAAATAAAATCACAGACTTTAAAATCAAGAGATAGATGGGAACAAAACAGAAACATGACTGCTCCTAATTCTTAAAATTAAATAAAAAAAATATGAGCATCAGTTAACATCTGTTTGCTGTAATTAAACATACAAGCTCTCATGATCGTTAAGTAATTAAGCGGGAGAGTTAATTGCTCTTAGCTCTTAGTCGTGTTTTGTTGCTCAAACATCTATTTCTGGTGAGGACTCTGTTGAGTCTCAGGGGTTCTGTTGCCATGGATACAGCATGTGAGGCTGCACTCTTCACGCTGAAAGGAGCAACGCTGAGGCTAATGCCATGCAACATGAATTTAGACTGAGATCAGGGAGGACAGTTTGTTGGTGCAGGCTGGAAAAATGAGACCTTCTGTAAACCTTAGGAGCTGCTGAGTCCAGACCACCAGCGTTTCTCCTTTGCTCAGTCGTCCTCTGTAAAGATTTCTTTTTTTCCCACTTGTCTTCCTTTTATCTTTCAGAATCTACCAACAGGAAGCAGCTGCATGATCACTGCCACCGGTCCCATGCTTGGAACAGTGGTGGCCCAATTTCCAACTGCTAGCCATTCCTGTTTTTTTCCTTCCAATTGGGATCCTCCTAATTCTGGCTTAAACATGTATAGAAATCTACTTTTTATCAGACGATATTGTCCCAAAAGGTATAAAATTTTGTAGGGAATGGGATGCACGATATAATCTGCCCCCTATCGGTATCGGCCTTAAAACTGAATATCGGACATCGGCCACCCCAACGATATTTAACCTGATATTTGATCAGCTTCTGAGTTTCTACAGTCCAAAAAAAAAAAAAAAAAAGTACTACTTGTTCTACCTCAAAAACTTATTTTTTACAGACTTAAAAACTTCTAAAGACGAGGGAAAAAATATTGATCCATTAAAATATCCCAATATCTTCATATGCTGATATATTGCCATTTAAAAACACCATATCAATCTCTTTTACTAATGAAATATTGCTATATGTCATCGT